AAATGCGGTCGTTTTTAATACATTATTTGTCTCATTTTTTGAGGGGAATAAGGGGATTTTTATCAAATTTTTCCAAACATGGAACCACAGCAAATCGTTAGTGGTTAAATGTCATTCTAATCGCTGAACCTCATCAACCTTTTACTTGTTGTGGCTATTTTCAATAGATAGTTTTGCCTTTTGACCACATTTGGCTATTATGAATAATAGAAATAATCGGAAAATTAACAAGAACAAAAGTATTTTAGTTAATTTTCATTAAATTATTAGTACCGAGTATTAAGTTCAAAATAGAATCAGAAGAAAACAGAGATAAAAAGATATAGTGGTGCTGAAAATATACAGTTCGTTTAATTTTTTTCTGTCAGTACTACGCACATCGGTTGGAAATTATGGCCGTTTCTCTCTCTCTTTCGTCTCTCTCCTTCCCTCTCACTCTTAGACTCTGCCAGTAAGTCTCACTATGCTAATCGTTCACTCTCATTCCTAAATTTATTTTTTAATAAAAGACGTATCAAAGTCATTTCAACTGTATTACAATTGTAATTAGCAACTAAATTATTCACCTTCCATACAAATCGGTGAAAATGTTAATTCTGTTAATAATTCAAACTCAAAACGGTGTACTTAAATTGAATAAGAGTGTATTTAATCAATGTGGAAATAATCAAATTAAAATCAACTACGGAATTAATATTTCAATTCATGGATAATTCAAATGCATTTGGCGATTGGAAATCGATGTTTTAAAATAAAACCAATCCTTTTCCGTTTTTCTGTTGATTCGTTCTGTGAAGTAGTTTTTAAACTGTCGCTTTCATGAATAATGAATCAATTAATAGATGTGCATAATTTTTCCAGCATTAAAATTAAACGAAGTTTTAATTGGCGTTGTTATCATATAAAAGCCCTACCATGAATCAGTGCGTCATTTCTAATCAAGTTCCAAATATATTCGTGATGGAGCTATTTCAAAGCATTCAGACAAAAATCCAGTACATTGGTATTGTGCATCCGACAATAGCTTCAAATCTGTTGCTAACCACGAAAATTCTATTCGTAATTAGTTTAATGGTAGGAATGATTTTATCATCGCTTACTTTCATTTTATTTCACAAAAAAACATTCAGCGAAGTCGCTGAGGCGTTCTTTTTGCTAATGACCGCGATATTGGCTATAACTGTCTACATATTATTTGTGCAACGGAGAGCCGTCTTTTACAAATTGATCGACGACGCCAGAGATATCATTCAGAAACGTAAGCATTTTTCGTGTTTTTACAATTTGAAAAAAATGGTGTACGAAAAATAAATCAAATCAATTTGAGTACCATTAATTAGAAGGAACAAAAGATATGAATATAATTGACATTTTAGGTTCAAAAAATCCATCGTCGAAAAAATTGTACGATAATTTAACTGAAACTATTGCAAAAACGAGCAAATGGATGAGTTTTTCATTGGCCGGCGTGGCGGTTTCAGTGACAACCATTCCGAATGCCATTTTGTCGTACTGGAAATATTGGGAAGGATTTGGAAATGCATCTTTTAAATTACCACTAACTGGAGTGTTAGTTGACATTCTCAAATTCGAAAAAAAAAATTCGAAAATAATTTTTTGTTATCTCCAGGTACCTTTATGATCAAACCCTTCTCGGTTACTCATTCGGATCAAGCATACAAATAATGGCCATGTTTTCGATGATGTGGTTATTTTCCTGTATTTTGGTATTTTTGAGTGGTTTCCCATCAGTTGTTATCACATTTGCTGATGACATTCAACTTGAATTAAAAAACTGGAGCCAGTCATTGAACGAAAAGCATTCGAACGACTTGAAAACGAAGCATTCACTTTATAAAATTCTTGCATTTCAGGCGATTATAAGAGAGTTGCGTAACATTTTGAGATTTTTTTTTAATTTTATACATTTTTATGGAAATTTTGTTTGTCTTTATTGTGTGTAGGTACTCGAAGCAAATATCAACAGCTTTTCAACCCGTTGCTTTGGCATATTTGTTATGGGGAATCGTTTGCATTAGCATAACACTTGTGATGCTACAAATTGTGAGTGAAAGTTTTTTCAAGGCAAAATATATTTTCAGTTCACTAAATGTTCCTAATGGAGGCTTTAAGTTCAAACCAAAAATCTGATCTTCTCTGCACTTATGATAGTATTAAAATTAATTGGAGTTAGTCAGAGACGGTTTAAAAGTACCCAAGCTGAAAACTTTCCATCTGTGAACTGCGCTATTAGTTGAAATGCGAAAAACTGAAATTCAACATTTGAAAACCTTTCTTCACATTATTTAAATTAATCACGAACTTTCTCTTTATCTCTTTCTTGCTGTCTTTTCCCCTTTTTCTATTTTGAATATCAGTCATTGAATCAGAATACATTAACTACATCAGACATTGCGCACACGCCGCAATTTATATTCTGGACCTTCCTTGCTATGTACATTCCTTGTCACTTTGGAGATGCTTTGACTTGTCGTCAACGAGATATTGGACAAGAAATCTATGAAAGTTCGTGGCATTTTTTACCACTTGAACAACAAATGTTGTTGCCGCTGCCAATGATGCTGGCACAAAATCCCATTTATATGAAAGCATTTGGATCCATTTCCTGCTCACGAAATATATTTAAAAAAGTAATCAAAATTAAGTGTTTTTTGAAAATTGAATTAATCTCTTTTTTTTGGCTTTCAGATAACCGAAAAAGGGTTTTCTTATTTCATGGTGCTACGTCAATTTGAATTTTAATTCAATTTAATTAATCTAAAATCATTCAATTATCAAATAAAAATTATTTTCGTTGTCATTTAAATATCAAAAATTTTAAATAAAATTTCAGTAATTTGTCATCAATTTTGTTTTTCTTAATTTTCGGGGTATTTTAGAAAAATTGCACACTTGTGATAAAAATGATGATACATATATCTACTGCTGGCGTTTGTGGTGATTCTGTTATAGTGGCCGCCCATTCAATGGTCCCAGTTTACATATTTCAATTATCTTCGTTTTGTTCTTATCATCAGTTGCCTTTCACTTGTTCTGACTCAACGTACAAAGCATATTTACTGTATATCAACTTGAAACTGCTGACTAAGACATTACGTAGTGTACGCGTACACATTTTACGAAATAAAGTGTCAAG